CCCAATCCCTACATATTCATGCTGACTACTGTAGAAACCAATAATAGCGCTGGACCAGCTGGAGGAACAGAAGATGTTTGAAAATGATATGTTCATTCTGGTATTTAAGGTGGTTGTATATCCTTTTTTGGACATGCAAAGATTATCCAGTAAAATGAAGGTTTTGAAGAATATAGCTATGTACTTAGAAAACCTAATGACATAAAAGTAATCCACATGTTTGTTCATTTTAAATACAGTATTTTTTATTATAATTGCAACCCATGAACATGACGTAGAATAGCAGAAGGCCTTGCCAAACTGGTATCTACAGACCTGTTTTGCATTATAACCAGCCAATAATTTTCTTTGGAGTAACTGATGCATTGTATTGATGACCTGGTGTATTTTTGTTTCAGGGAAGGGCACATAGAACTCCAAGTTTGTCCAGTCTCAACTCCCAGGAATCAAGCAATGAAATTTCCAGGCTAACTGATAAAGTCCAGGCAGAATATAGAGATGCCTATCAGGAATATATTGCTCAGATGGCGCATATAGAAGGTGCAGTGGCCGCCACTACCAGTGGCCGATCCTCTCCTATGAGCTCCAGTGCATACTACGTTGGGCAGAGCACGTCTGTGAGCTCCATACACTCCACTTCAGAACAAGACAAAGGGAAAGAAGAGCAAAAGCTGGAAGATGGAAGGAAGCCATTTTTGCTGAAGAGGAATGATGTTGAATACACATCTTCCACTGCTTCCACCACTGATGTTTCCCCATTGGACCCGATCACAGAAGAGGATGAGAAGTCTGATCAGTCTGGTTCCAAGCTTCTTCCCGGGAAGAAGACAGCAGAGAGAACAAGCATATTCCAGGGAACTGGGATGCGCTACCAGAAGCTTCCAAGTGATGAAGATGAGTCTGGACCTGAGGAGTCAGATAACACTCCTCTTCTAAAGGATGGCAAAGACAAAAAGCCAGATACCACCACAGACAAGAAAGTGTCTGACCATGCACCAGAGTCAGTGAGGACATTCATCAAAGCAAAAGAATACTTGTCTGATGCTATCCTAGACAAGAAAGACTCTTCCGACTCTGGGGTGAGGTCCAATGAAAGTTCACCAAACCATTCCCTAAGCAATGAAGGTGGTGATGACTCCCATCTCGAAAAAACTAACCTTATTGAACTTGAGGATGACCGCATGCGCGCAAAGAGGGGAATACCAAACAGTTTGAGCGGTCTTCAAGACCCAGCCATAGCACGCATGTCCATCTGCTCAGAAGACAAGAAGAGCCCATCTGAAAGCAGCCTCATAGCCAGCAGCCCAGAGGAGAATTGGCCAACTTGCCAGAAAGGCTATAATCTCAACCGAACTCCCAGTACAGTGACCCTGAACAATAACACCGCAAACCAAAACTTCGAAGAAACCGAAGCAGCAAAAGAAGAGTCACCGATCATAGTGGTGCCTGGGTCCAGCCCAGTTCACAATGAGAACCTGAAGAGAATGACCCACAAGAGAGGCCAACGATCAGGATACAGCCGTCTGGCAAAAGATTCCTCAGAGCTGCACACAGTCATATCATCTGACTCTGCTGGCTTTGCGGAAGAACGAGAGAGTATCCTTTAAACTCAATCTCCATCGTTTCAGTCGCTGTCAGCATCCATTTTTTTTTATTCCTTTCTCCGTTACATTTTTTTTTGCCAACCTCATCCTCAGCCTTAAACCTTAAGCACTTGTGATCCTTAACACATCTTTCTTAAAATGTTCTGGAAAATATGTAAAAGCAAACCCCAGCAAATAACCTAGTAAAGAGCACCGAATACGATCAGCTGCCATAGTACCTACTGCAGATCTTTAATGTGACGAGAAGAGAACGTCTTGTTCCAGAAAGTGTTATGACCATTAGATTTTGTGCTCTTCATTAGCCATTTTGTTATTCCATCACATTTACATTTATAAACCATTATTGAAAAGTCATGACCTGAAGTAATAAACAGTGAGATTAGACCTGCTCATTCATTGGAAGATGATTCTTTATTCGGTTCTTCCACCAAGCACAATGTTTAATTTCAGCTAAATTTCATCTTCAAATGTTTAGAAGTTGCCTCAGTTACAAATTTCCACTATAAAGCTCAGACTTTCCTTGCTGGGTTTTGACTCTCAGCTGGCCCTCAGCCAATCAGAAGATACTAAAGGTGCCAATAAAAAAGCTTGAACGTAAGATTTGGATAAACCTAACCAAATCTGATCAGTATCAGTTATTGTATGGTGATTATGTACATGAACATAGGTGCTATGTAATGGACCACTCCTGTCATCCCGGGTGTAGTCCAAATGATCAGCTCGGCATTGGAATTTGGATGAACTGATCGATCTTATATACAAAATAATGTCAAGAGAAATCTTAGCTAGAAGCAAGGAATATCCATAGCTTGGTGGAGAAACCATCTAAAGATCTAAAGCAGTGTATATCAACTCTGGTCCTTGGTGGCTGTGAGCAGTGCGTGTATTTCAACTGTCCTTTGAAGCCATTTATAAGATAACCGAGTTGCAATTACGCCTAAAATTCTAAGTAACTTGCGCTGTTCTAGGCCAGTAGGGGCCGGGGATGAGAATCACTGAGCTGAACTTTGGTTCAATGAGGATCGAAAGATTGCTGGCTTCACAGTGAGCGCGTTGCAAGTCTTCACAACTCTGTATCACAGGCAATCCAAAACTCAATGTTGAAGAGGGTGAATCTAGGGCCGCGTGCTGAGAATAAATGCTAAAGTATTTCATAACTGGTATGAGATCTAAATCCTTACAAGACAATACATTCTGTGAGATTGACTACATGGATAGAATAGCAGCTCCTGGTATGACATCTGCTTATGGTAAGTCAACTGCTAAAGTACCAGAATATATCCATCACACCCGCGACTCAAACAGATTTACAGATATAAAAGTATGAAAAGATATACAAATCAAAAGTCTTAGCAGAAATTTTTGTTTATTTTTTGTTGAGGCCGGTTTATAATAAATATGATTTGTCTCCGACCCACACTAGGAAGCCATTTTGTGGACTGCACTAAAAGCTATTTTTCCTCATTGGGAACTAGTGGCCTTGGCTCATGCCTTGATGATGCCACTAATTCCTGGTGTCTATACTTTTTAGGCATATTTGGCCACTATTATATGCCGTTCTTCCTCTAGCGGCTAGTTCACACCAGAACTGCGTGTCTGCGGACCTGCAGTGCGATACATTTTACCGCAATTTACACTTTTTTTTTTTCTTAAAATAGGATTTCAGGTGCGTTGAGTGTTTGCATGCGTTTTTGATGCGATCCGATGCAGCTAAAATAGGGCAAGCAGTATTTTTTCTGACTGCATCAGAGCAGACTGCACTGGTGTGAATAGAGCACCAGAAATCCCATAGGAAATCATTGTGACGCGTTTTGGATGCAGCTGCCAAACTGAACGGACTGCATCTGGTGTGAAGTAGCTCTTAGAGAAAGTTGGGCAAGCTTTGTGACAGCCTGACGATCTATTGATCTGTACACAGTATTGTATCCCTAGCATGGCTGCCAAGGCTCAATCCTGTGTCTGTGGCACTGTTCGTCTCATGTATTGATAGTCCTGGTTGAAAGATCCAGAACTTTTGTATTTGAGAAAAGTAGAGTCAGCTCACAATGTGACGGCTCCTAGTTTGTCTGGGAGTTCTGTGAAGACATTGAGCTTAGAGCACAAGCAGAAATCTCTGAGACTTGTGATGGCAAACTCTCCCCATGTTATTTGTCCCCTGACACTCATTCCCTTCTTAGATCCTCAGCCATTTCACTCGCCTATCCAAAATGAAGTGTTGGGCTTAAAGTCTGTAGGAAAATCTGATTGTGATTCAGATAAAGGCTGTAAGTCTTGAAAGTGTACGACATTGAAGTATGCCATCGGTGAAGGACACAATATTTCTGAATTCCCATTATAATTTGACTGTTGTCATGTTGGGTCCTCAGAATCCAGTTCCAGGTTTGATCTCACTGTGATACTTGGCATTTTTCTATCTTCATGCCAAAGAGGGTTTAATGTCACCTTGTCACTTGTGAAGTAGAATAGGCGCATTCTATTAATCAGTCACTAGTGAAACATGACTGTACAATTGTAATTCTCTCCAGTGGTCATGTGTTGCAGTAACTGTGAGATCTTGTTGTGCCATAACAATGTTTGATGTTCTAAGTGTTTCTGATGCATGCCTTGAGGACACTGTCCCGGTGAACTGCATGCTGTAGACCTGTAATTGTCCTTCCTGGTCAGAAGCCTTTCGTCATCTGTCAAGTCTGTATTTCAGGAGCAACTTGAATGAAAAATACAAGATGTAACTGCACCTAAATGTTTGTCCAGAACTTCGGTTCACAACACTCCTCAAACTCGGTGAAGCTTGAAGTGATATCAAGGTAGAACGGTTGGAACTGTGTGTGCTGGGCTAATAGACAAGCTAATGTTTCTCCAACAGCATCAGGTTCTATAGTCCAGGTTATCCAACTTTCAGAAATGGGGAGTTATTCCACAACACATCAGAAATGTCTGTATAATTGCAAATGTCTGCATAGGGTTGCATAATAAACACCTAACAATGGGCTTTCTATAAAATTTGGGTAACACATAAGGACACGCTTTACCAATAGTAGGGTGTCGTTGTTCTACTGCCACTTAGAAAACAAAAGCACATTTTTGATTGCTATTGGCGCCACTTTTTTTTCTTTCTCTTCAGACTAGTTGTGGTGCTCATTGTTTCTGGCTTGGGTTGGTTGTGTTCATGGCATGCTGCAGACTTCAGATATATCCATATAATGGCCATGTGTTCCTGTGGTGAATGAAGGTGCCACATTTATAAACACTACACTGAAGATGCTGCAATTTTGGCATCGCCTGCTTCATTCACTACAGTGAATACATGATGAGATTCAGTGTTCAGACGAGGGACGATCATGACATGTTTCTGTTGGAATAGCAGATCATGAGTAGATCAGATACCGCTGCACTACGGGAAGTTTTGCAGGCCGGCTGCTAGAATGTACATACCAAGACAACAGACGCTAGAAAAGACCAGTCACCTACTCTTAAAGGGCCACTATCAAAAGTGGTTTATGTAAAAGCATTTATCACCTACATGTGAAACTCGAATAATTAGAATATCGTGCAAAGTTCATTTATTTCACTAATGCAACTTAAAAGGTGAAACTAATATATGAGATAGACTCCTTACATGCAGAGCAAGATAATGCAAGCCGTGATTTGTCATAATTGTGATGATTATGGCTTACAGCTCATGAAAACCCCAAATCCACAACCTCAAAAAAGTAGATTATTACATGCACTCAATAAAACAAGGATTGTACATAGAACAATATCGGACCTCTGAAAAGTACAAGCATGCATATGTACTCAGCACTTGGTTTGGGCCCCTTTTGCAGCAATTACAGCAATTACTTTTGCATGATATTCTAATTATTCGAGTTTCACCTGTATATGGTTAAAGTCCACCTTGCATCAATATATAAAGTCCACTTACTAGTTAGACCCCGTCCCAAAATGTAAAAATGCAGCATTTGGACCTGTGTCTTTATTCAACCTCAAATACTATGTAATTTAAAAAAAGAAAATCTACTTATCTTATACCCTGGGTTCTGCCCATAGTGCCTGTATAGGGCTGATGTCATGATCCTTCTGGTGAGATGCTGAGGAGAGACTTTTTAACAAGATTAGGGATCCTCAGTGTTCCTGGGAACTTGATAGATGTTCTGTGATGTCACTCTCTCCTTCTCACTGCAGCAGTGACATAGCGTGGGTTGTCATCATCTGGGGCAAATCAAGCATTGCCTCCCCCCGATGCCTAATGCATTGCAAGAGTTCTTGTATTGTGTGTTGTATCACACACTGCTGGAGCTGTCACTGTCTACTTTTTAAACTTTATGTGGAGTGCACGCTCTAATCAGGTTCCCGCATAGCTGTGCTGTCCACTGCTCAGCAGTGTGGCGTCCTGCAGTGGGATCCAGTGCACTGAGATAAAATGCAGCATGCTTGAATGTTATCCCAGAGCTGAACCTGCATTGTGGTGGGAAGGAGACACATAGAAAACAATTGTTTTCCATGTGTCCTATCGGTGACCTGCGGATATGTTTGAACGGGCCCAGACACGTACACTCACTCGCATACATACATACATACACATATTCTGATACATGCATACATACACGCAGATAGATAGATACGTACATACATGCATGCATCTCTGCAGTCAGGTGAACTAATATGTATTGCATCCTGCCAGGGACAAATGCCAGCACCAGAGCTATTATGTACAAAGCTGGGAAGTTATAGCGGAAGGCTGAGATCTGTTATAAACAGCTGATTATTTAGTTGAATGTTCCTGAGAAGGATGTCATGAAATCCCTGATATCAGTGCTCTGAGCACTCCCGTGAATTCACTGATGGCCGACATTGGTCTTGATGTGTTGCCGGAGTTCCTGGCACTGACTTGTGCTGCCGGTCAGTACAGCTCAGCGGAGTTCCTTGGTCAGTGCTTTGTATCATGGTGAGCACAAGACAGTTTCTGACAAGCGTTCACGTGCCAGTGCTAAATGTGAGAGGTATGCGCTTGTGTTCCTGTTGTCAGTCTATTAAATGCCAATTACCTGTCCCCACGCCTGCATGATGACAGTATTTCAAAACACAATTAAAGCTCTGTAAACTGTTATGTGTCATAATATGTGGAAATAAAACCAACCGTAAAACAAGCAGCACTGTGTTCTGTCTTCCCTGATTGCTTTTATTGCAGTCACCAGTAGAAGCAAAACCACATGCACCAATAATATCATAGTAATGTACGTGTAATATGGGTATGTTGGGCAGACGATCGAGGATCTGATCTGATCTGATTAGCAGCACGTTGACATGTCTAGGGATCTGGTGTCGGCATTATTGTACCACAGAGAAGTCCAGAAGAAAAATGAGATTGATCATATTTGAGCAATTACCGAACATCTGATCTCTGCTCCACCATGTGCACTCTAAAGACCTTAACAGAAGCT